TTCTATTTATAGTTCTATTTATTTGATCTTTTTGCAGTTGCAAAATTTAAATGCCAACTCCTACTTTAAATGCCAATGACGAAGTATTGGATATTTCAATTAACTGATTTCTTCAAACGTATAGGCTAACATTTTTTGCATTTTCTAAAATTGTAAAATTGTATACAATAACAATAGCTATTTAAGGAGTATATGGAAATAGTCAAACTAATTTATAGGTTGTAGTTAGGCTGTAAAAAAAAATAGTTCAGGCCTTCAGAAGAGGGTAGAAGAGGAAAAATAGTTATTCATCCTAGGAAAGTAGAAAGTATCAGAAAGCAGCTCAAAACAGCTACTCCTTAATCATATTCCCCTTAAAAAAGGGAACAGTGACAGTTTTGGACAAGTTTTTAAGATTGGTGACAGTCCTTTGAGGTAGGCCAGAAAGATGAAATAGACATTGCAGGAATTTCAGAAATTCTACTTTTAGTTGTATGGCAAATTACCAGTATTTTGAATCATTCATTCCTTCCTTGGTCTCTTTGAGGTTAAATATATATGCAAATACTAATATGTAATTTGATACTGTATGCAAAGTTCTAGAAGCAAAGCAAAGCAAAGCAGAGTCTGGTTAGTATTTTGATGGAAGACCACTGTGAGATTCCTGGGCATTAACTTGACTGGTAAGTTGTACTAACAACATCAATTTGTAATCAGGTTGAGCTGTCCATGGAGCCATTTCTTTGTCAACTTTGTCAGCTAGTCTAGACAAAAAACACACCTAGAAATATTAGCTCTATTTTTATTGTTAGTTTACATTATCTTGCAAGTCTGAAAATACATCTCTTCCCCTTCCCTTTTATAGTCCAAGAACCTAGGAAATGGTCCATTCTGAGATATTTGCCATGCCCTATTCCGTCACCTGCCTCATCTGACTATTGCCCAGTCTATGGCCCTTTCTTCTGTCTCCAGAGAACATTCTCACAACTTGGAACACTATGATCTCAACTGCAATGAGTATCATAGTATTTTAATCTTTTTACCAAGAACTATTAGTGATCTATTCCGAAATTCAATTTAAGACTCTTGATAACTTTAGTGGGTTGGGTGTATATAATTTAGATCCTTACAGGACTCAAGGCTGACTCAGCCTTCTATCCTCCTGAGGTCAGTAAAATGAGGACCCGGATTGTTCAGGGCAATATGCTGACTCTGTAAACTGCCCAGAGAGTGCTGTAAAGCACTATAAAGTAGTATATAAATCCTAAATTTGCTATTGCTATTGCTACAATGTAACTTCAAATCTGAACATGTTATCATTCAAGTATGAAGGTATAAATTCTTTGGTGTGATGAAAGACCTTTAGGCAGAACTTTCTCAATGTTAGCACTAGACTATTCAACCAATCTGTTTATTACAGCCATAAGGCCAGACATAATCAAAATATAACAACAGTGACAATTTTACTTCCATATTTACAGAATATAAAACCATCAAACAATCAATGTATTATAATCCAAAATTCTCAAAATAAAACATCATATTAAAATTTTTCAGACCTTGATAATGGTGCGATGTATTGTGCAAATGGTGGCACAAAATTGGGCAAACTGAACTGATATTTTCGGATCCTTATCCGAAAGTAGCAACTTTAGATAAAATTCATATCCCCTACCTGGAAACTTCTTCAATATCGGATATATAAGAATCTGTCTAGAGTCTTTATATAAAGAACAATGAAGCAGCATATGGCTTAGGGTTTCTATAGAGCCATCACCACATGGACACAACTGAAGGTGTATAGAGATGCCCTTAAACCGTCCAAAAAGGACTGCTGAGGGCAACGCATCCAGCCTGGCTAAGGTGAAAGCTTTACAAAATTTCAAAATTGTAATGGGAAATAGATAAGAAGCTGGGAGGAATCCTTCTGGAAGCAAGTGACAAATATTGGAATGTGCCACCTTACTTAAGTTTGTTTGGAGATCAATATCCCAGATACGTTGTTTCAAGGCAGTTCTAGCATTATCAAATCCTAATGAACACAGACTTTCCATAGAGAAGCCCAGCGATTTAATTTTATTTAGTGCTTTTTTTCCCCACGACGATTTAAAATGATCTATAAATACTAATGGGGCTAACCCTACAGGCATCAAAATTAACTTTAGCCAAAAGGTAAGAAGAAGGAACCATGCTCTAGCTTCCAATGAAACTAAACCTATTTCCACCCGTAGGATAGCATTTTTAATACTTTTAAGTACCATCAGTATGGCTCTAATAAACTTATTTTGAATAATTTCAATAGCATTAAGCTTTGCAAGTGAACATATTTGCAAGCCATAGAGGAGCTGAGGGACTGCCTTAGCTTGGAAAATACCTTACACTAGACTATAAAATGGTGTCCCTGTGTATGTAGTCACAACGCTATCCATTTTTAGTAAAATGTTACTAATTTTAATTGCCATTCTTTGCTTTTCAATTTCTGTTGTATTTGTAAATCTTTTTTTAAACTAAATGAACTGAGTACCACTTTGGTTAAACTCTGTATATAAAGGCAACTTATTATATAATTTGTCTTTATATGTTAATGTTAATTATACTTATATACCACATTATAATTCAAGGCAGCGAAGAAACACAATAATCTTTCCTGTTCCTCTTTTTCTAACAACAGCCCTGTAAGCCTGAGGTGGCTTTTGAGCCTAAAGTGGGTCCCCTGGATTTTAGCCTGGTACCTTAACCACTAAGTCAAACTGGGTCTCATATATATAATGAGTTTACTTAAGGTGAGTAAATAGGTAAATGTTACATTGTGGAAAAATGTCTTATTTTTTTTCAAAATAATTTAGAGCATATATATATAATTTTTTTTAATTATAATATGATTTAAAACAGACATTTCTTCTACTAGGTAATAGCTATATGGCCATTTCACATTTTTAAACTTTGTATACTGGCAAAAAAATATCCAATTTTCAGGCTACTCATTTAAGGTTTGTAAAAGACATCATATGGTTTATTGCTCAAATTTGAACATTTTAAATAGGAAGCAAAAGGGTATGCTAAACAGCTAGAGTGAATAAATAAAAAGTTTTGGGCACACATCCAGTTTTAAATCAGAGACCAAACAAGAGAATTTCAAAGATGGAAGAAAGAATGTGGAGGTCAATGTGGAAAATATGTCCTAAGTCATGAGAAAATATTTTTCAGCTAAAATGAAATCACTTTTCATAAAAAAAAATGATGAGGAAATTTATAAGAATTAAGTATGCTTTAAACAATTCTTTTTACAAAGGATTGCCCTTTTTTCCTCTTTAAAAAAGCAATGACGCAGATATTTGAAAAATTTAAGTATTTTTAAATCCTTCAACTTAAAAGTACTAGGATAATATTTTAATATTACTACTCAGTATTTGTACACAATTCAAAATCACTCTTTCAAAAATGAACCATTTTATAAACAAAATATTTTGCTAAATAATTTAAAAATCCATTTAAAAGGCTTGTCATGGAAGAAAATGATGTATCTGTTCATTTTTTTCTTGAATAAATGATTGCAAAGTAATTTTTCATAGGTTATACTGTTTGAATTAAGATAAAATATTCCTATGTCCACACACACTGAAAAATTTTAAAAAATCTTTATACGGGGTGTACTTATTTAAATGACTATAAGTGTAAAAAAAATGCAGTAACCTACTATGGAAATGTGCCTACAGATATATGTAGAAAGAATACGGTTTATGAAACATTATGTTTCTTCTTGGATATGGTCTATAGTAGTTACTATCTGTCCCTTGAAGAAGTAAATTGTCAATTTAACAACTCCTCTTGCAATAGATTTTTGTTTTTCTTTACTATAGTACAGACATGTCAAACTCGCGACGTCACGTGATGTCATGCAACATATCAGAGCTTTTTCCCCATTGCCGGAAATGGGATGGGCACGGTTTCCTTGTGATGCATCCGGCCCACGGGCCAGCAGTTTGATACCCCTGCTGCAGTACATTAATATAGGGATGATGTTTGAATATTTATTGCTCAATATTTGTTCAAAATCAAATGCATATATTCAAACAGGAGTTCCTTACATTCAGAATTATAGAGCTATTTTTAAGGCAGTGATTAGCACAACCATAATTTCATGTCCAATAAATGAGGTGTCACAGAATGTGTTCCCAAACTTGATGATAACTATGGGTTTCTCTTCATTTATTCTCATCAAGAATTCAAATACCTTTAACGCAGTAACTGGATAATGTCTCATTCTGAAATGGATGCAGCTGTTCCCATTACAGACACAGATCCAGATGCTTGGAAGCCAAGTACTAGAAAATGAGTCACCTTTCTTACATACGCACGTCATCCCAAACACTGCCTGAATGGGAAAATGACTCTTTCTAAATGTAAATTCAGAGTGAGGAAGCTTTCCTGTATTGCAACAGATCTGGCTACATGGATTCCAGTAAAACTAACAACCAGCCATTCTTTATGTGTGCCACAATTTCATGTTCTTTGGATTTGATATGAATGGTGAATGTAAGGATTACTTTCATAGGTAGGTAAAAATCTGGCATAATCATTTGGTTATTAATTATTTACACATCATAAATAATCATGAATCAGAGAAACATGCTTTCAAAGCATAAAGTTGCAGTTTTGAGTCAAATCCTATCGGGTTTATATTTGAAAATACATTACTGAGTTCTTACTGAATTAATGAGACTTTGTTTCACATAAGAAGCCATATGATTGCTCCCCCTTTCAGTGAGTCACAAGGAGGAAAAATGTCTGTTTCAGCAAGATCAACTCCAATTAGATTCCCCGTCTTTTGTTGGAGCCCTACCCTTGCATTTCTAAGCCAGCCAGTATTTCTTAACTATGTTAAATAAATCTTATTCACCTCAAAAAGAAGTCACCCAGGAACATCAGCACTCAGAAAGCAAGAAAATAACTTGGTAGATTAAGTAAAAGATAGGTAAGCTTTCAATGCAAAAAAGGGTCTATAGCATAAAGGTCCTTACCTTAAAATTGTGTGCTTTTTCATAGTTGAAATGGTTGTCGTTCTGAGTCAGTGCTGCTCTTCTGACCAAGGAGGTGATCTGTGAATAGGCAAAGAGTTTCAGTGGTTGCCACAAGAGTGCCCCTTTCACTCCCATCTTAACCCCCAAGGCGACTGCCAGGAGTTCTTGGCGCTTTCGTCCTTGCTTTGATTTGTGAACCACAGCACAAGCTTTCTCATTGTCAAGCCATAGCTCCTCGGCAAACATAGTGCTTGGATCCCAGATCTTTTCCTTGTCTTCAACAGAGGCTGGGAGGCTGACTGCTGTCAGCTTGGTCCAACTGCTTCTTACGTTAGACAGCAGATTTGAAGCAGCTGCGGCAGCCCATTCTGAGGAGACCTCTGGCATGTGACTTGAATGGGCTGTCTTGTGTGATGGAAGGAGCTCCTGCATCTGAATAAGTAACAGTATGCTTTGTGATACTTTTTTAAAACAAAGTGTGCACAGAACAATAGCCTGGATTCATGTATAGAACGACTCCGGCTTCTGGCCCTCCCAAGAGCAGAGGATCCTGCCAGGCACTGAAGAAATACCGACAGTTTTACAGCTTCATGTCACAACACATCTCCAAGGATAGATCACATCTACCCAGGAGCCCTTTTTTTTGTTTTCATAAAAAACCTCTAATGCTGCATCCAATTGCGCTAAGAGCTGGAGACCTCTGAGCTCTTCCAGTACAAATGCCATCATATTAAGCCTTTAAACCACAGTGATTCTTTAATCTTGTGTGTGGGGGGAAGGAAATACCCTCCTCTTTTTCATATCCTGTACAAGGAAAAATCTAGTAGCACTTGAAAGATTAGTAGCCATGGCTGCCAGCACCTTAAATGAAGATTGTTTCTGGCATTCTCTGCTTTTTGCAATATATAAAATAAATTGCAGTTTTTCTTCTCATTATTTTAAAACAACATTTAAAAGAATGCCCAGGCTATTAAATTGCTCAGTGAAGGAAAAAAAGGGGGCAAAAAAAGGGAAAAAAGAAAGATTAATTGAAGTATAAGAATTCATCCAGCCACACAATTTTTATGGTACAGTTGCGATTCCTTCTATGTTTTGTGTGGGTCTCCCTCTCCACGACTATTATGGCAACATTGTATAATTGAGAAATAATTCAATCCAAATGCTGTCTACAACAAAATGTTGCTGTGTTGAACCAGCAAATCCTGTATTTCCTCAGGATCCATTCCACTATTCCAACCTCTTAATGCTTTCCGTTTCCCCCCCTACAAAGTGAAACTAAATATCCATCCCTAGATTCCTCTACGGGTAGTCCTCGACTTATGAGCATAATTTTGTCCTAAAATTTCTGTTGCTAAGTGCAACAGTTGTTAAGTGAATTTTGCCCCATTTTACAACATTTCTTGCCTCAGTTGTTAAGTAAATTACTGCAGTTGTTAAGTTAGTAACACGGTTATTAAATGAATTTGGCTTCTCCATTGACTTTGCTTGTCAGAAAGTTACAAAAGGTGATCACATGATCCTAGGACACTGCAACCATCATAAATATGAGTCAGTTGCCAATCACCTGAATTTTGATCCCATGACCACGGGGATGCTGCAATGATTGTTAGTGTGAAAAATGGTCATAAGTCACTTTTTTCAATGATGTTGTAACTTTGAATGGTCATTAAATGAACTATAATAAGTCAAGGACTACCTGTACAATGTTGAGGAACTGAACCAGTTGACTGAACTTTGCTGCATAAGAAATTCAATTTGGCCTGATGATGGGGAGGGGAAGAGGGGGTTCCCCATTGGCAGGAACTCTCAGTTCTCCTATTTCCTGGCACTTCTTCACTCCCTCTTGTTGCCAATGTGCCAGGGCTCTCCTCATTCTTTTTCCTCACAGAAAGCAAATGTGGCAAGGATGAATCATTTGTGTGTGTGTGTATGGAAGCAGACTGGCGGCTGCGAGTAGAATAGAATAGAATAGAATAGAATAGAATAGAATAGAATAGAGTTGGAAGGGACGTTGGAGGTCTTCTAGTCCAACCCCTCTTCAGGCAGGAAACCCTATACTATTTCAGATAAATCATTATCCAATCTCTTCTTAAAAACTTCCAGTGTTGGAGCATTCACAACTTCTGGAGGCAAGTTCTTCCACTGGTTAATTGTTCTAACTGTCAGGAAATTTCTCCTTAGTTCTAGGTTGCTTCTTTCTTTGATTAATTTCCATCCATTACTTCTTGTCCTGCCTTCAAGTGCTTTGGAGAATAGCTTGACTCCCTCTTCTTTGTGGTAACCCCTGAGATATTGGAACACTGCTATCATGTCACCCCTAGTCCTTCTCTTCATTACACTAGACATACGCAATTCCAGCAACTGTTCCTTATATGTTTTAGCCTCCAGTCCCCTGATCATCTTTGTTGCTCTTCTCTCTATCCTTTCTATAGTCTCAACATCTTTTTTACATCTGGTGACCAAAACTGGATGAAGTATTCCAAGGCGTTATAAAGTGGTATTAACACTTCACGTGATCTTGATTCTATTTCTCTATTAATGCAGCCTAGCACTGTGTTGGCTTTTTTAGCAGCTGCAGCACACTTCTGGCTCATATTTAAGTGATTGTCCACTAGGACTCCAAGATCCCTTTCACAGTTACTACTATTGAGCAAGGCACCACCTATACTGTACCTGTGCATTTGGTTTTTCTTGCCAAAGTATAGAACCTTACTTTTTTCACAATTGAATTTCATTTTGTTAGGTAGCACCCAATGTTCAAGTCTGTCAAGATCCTTCTGTATCTCAAGCCTATCTTCTGGAGTGCTGGCTATTCCTGCCAGCTTGGTGTCATCTGCAAATGTATTGAGTTCAAATTTTATTAAGCCCTATTCCATTTTATCACTTTGTGGTTCAATTAAACTCATTATTCCTAGGGTTTCTCAAGAATCTCTGCTAAAGCTTCATGTCTACTCTCACTTTCTCTTGCAAACAAGTCAAGATATTCTTCTAGAAAATTAGAATGTATATAAAATAATTTATTAAATATAATTTTACTGTTTGCTGGTGTGATCAATAAACTTGGCATTTTAAATTATTACTATTTTGATAGGTTTGTCAACAACAACAACAACAACAACAACAACAACAACAACAACAATAATAATAATAATAATAATAATAATAATAATAATAATAATAATAATAATGTTGGAAGGGACCTTGGAGGTCATCGAGTCAGGCAGGAACCCTACACCATTTCAGACAAATGGCTGTCTAGTCTCTTCTTAAAAACTTCCAGTGTTGGAGCATTCACCGCTTCTGGAGGCAGGTTGTTCCACTGGTGAATTGTTCTAACTGTCAGGAAGTTTCTCCTTAGTTCTAGGTTGCTTCTCTCCTTGATCAGTCTCCATCTGTTGCTTCTCGTCCTGCCTTCAGGTGCCTTGGAGAATAGCTTGACTCCCTCTTCTTTGTGGCAGCCCCTGAGATATTGGAACACTGCTATCATGTCCCCCCTCGTCCTTCTCTTCGTTAAACTAGACATACCCAATAGTTACAAGCAGTATTATTATGTGAAAGCATATAAATTGCCATCTAAATAATATAAATATTAAATTTATATCATATTAAATTTAAAATGTTAAACATTTAAATATTATTTATCCAAACCCTACTGGCCTATTCTTAATTTTAAAAGGTCACAGAAGAGAATGTTCCATGTTATTCTATATGGAACTATTTGTAGAATTTTGTGGACCCTGAAAGTCTGCTGTTGAAATTATTTCTTCAGGTCAGGGATCATATTCCTGTCTTTTTTGTTCTTTTTGCTTTCAACAGTTTGTACAGATCTCACTGCTGAAATATCCACACACTCTGCTGCTAAATAAATCCATTTTGCAACTGATAAGACAGCTGACAGCCACTTTTAGGTAGGCTAGTAGAGAGATTTGGACCTCCTGGGGATAATGTTTCATGCTTTTCTGTCCTACCCTTATGCCATTGGTGGGCCAATAGCTAATAGATTCTGGATTCAGAGCAACGTGTTTTTTTTAAAAAAGCTTCTGTTATTGCAGTTTAGCTTTTGCCCCTGTATTTCTTAACCTTAGCAACTTAAGGTTAGCTCCAGCATGCTGACTGGGAAAATATGGGAACTGAAGTCCCCACATCTTAAAATTGCCAAGGGTGAGAAACACTGCTTTATCTGAACAATACAGCAGAAATCCTATCCTCATTTCCCTTGGACTACTAGCATATCTGAATTCAGTGAATTTTTTTAAAAAAAGATTTGCTTGGGATTGCACAGAACATTGCATTAGGCAAGGTTGTTTGATATCCACCATTTGACCAATTTTTAACATCTTATTTGTGCATTTTCTTTCTTAAGTTGATATAGAGTGAAATTATATAATCTTTAAGTTACATAACTCAATCCATAGCTGTGTTAAATGGATATTAGAAATAAAGGAAATGTTAATTTGTAACATTTGCCTTATTATGTTTGATTTTTTTAAAGTGCATAATGCATACTAATTCACAAGCAATGGTGACACTTTGCAATATACCTGTTTGCGTACGTGCTCTGGAAACAGACATATTTTGTGGCATTGCTGGAATTATTTAAATAGGTCAACAGCACCAACACAAAACTCTGAGAGTAAGGTCAATTTTCTAGTAATCCTTTGGCATTTGTATTATATCACTTAAATTGTAAAATCCTATTATATAAGGTACAGTACATCATTATGCAATAGTGCAGTTACTCTGCTCCAAATACAGGATTATACATAAGACATCTTATTAGAATCCTTACTTTAATGAAATAATTTTAGGAGAAAAATCCAGTAAAAAGAGCTGCTATTTAAAGTTCACCTATACTGTATGTCTCTGTAATTTGTGATAAGCATCATAAAATCTATTCAGCTAGGCTGTTTTTTAAGTTGTCTTATTGTATCATAATAATATCTTTTATTAAGGGTGCACTTTTGACTTTGGCCCAATTCCCAGTCACTTCATTAACACATCCATGTATTTTGCGTGGCAACAATATTTGTTTGCTTATTTGAAAATACCTTTCCTTCAGGTGCTCAAGACATGATGTT